CCCAAACCCAAACCCAAGTATGTATATGTTCATAAACTATTACAGAACATACTAATTCTGTATATGGATTAAGTATGAATGATTCATAGAATAAAGTGATTTCTTGTGGAGATGATAGGCTTATATTAATAATCGAATGGTCATAATAGAATTAAAAATGGAACACAATATAAAAGATAAATGTTCAATAATATGGTCTTAGAATATGTTTTATCAATGATAATATGTTCATATTTTAACCTTATTCTAAAGAATACATGAATGTTTATGAAATGAGTAGTATTAATAAATAGTTTTCAAAAACAAAAGAGATTATGGTTAAATGTGGATCAGATGGTAATTGTTTATTTCCTTAATAATATATATATAAAGTAGAAATGTTTGGCTGTAAATAAGAATGGATATAATATTAATTTGATAAGGAAGTATGAAAATGGAGATTTTTTAATTGAATAATCTATTGATTTTGGAACAAATAGTTTATTTGGATTTATGAGTGAAAATGGAGAGTATTTGATTACATGGGATGATAAATCTAAAGAGATTTAAATAAGAAAACATTAAAAAAAATGATTAATTATTATATTTAAAAAAAAATTTATTTAAGGAAGAGTAAGTCTTTTGAGAGAATCAGATAGAAAATCGGAATTATTGTTAAAAAAGGTCACTCCTTTATTAATAAAAAAAATCTAAAAATGAAGAATGAGAACTAAGAAAACATTTGAAAACAAAGTATCTGTAATATATTTTCAACTTCTGTAATATCATTACTACTGATTTTAATAATACTTTAGATTAACTAGGAACGTTTTAGTTTTTTACTAACATTTATATACATGTTTATAATAAAATAAAGATCAATTTAAATTTTAAATGATTTACTCAAAGGATCTACTTAATATCTAACCCGAATAATTCTGCTTTTTCAAATTTTATTGAATATAATAAAATATATAAAGTGTAATTAATTTATTTAGTAATGATATTTAATAAAAATTAAGGGATGATTAAATTTTTTAAGATAAGAGAAAACTAAATTTTGCTAGTAATTTTATTATTCTGATCTTAAAGATGTATTTACATATGAAACTTTGAAGCTAGTTGGCAATATTGACATTGTTTAATTTTTATAGAATAGATATCACTGTTAAACCTTTTTATTGAAATTAATATGTATGTTAGAAATCTAGACGACCCTAAATTTAATGCAATACTTAAAAATTATAACATAGATCTGAATTTTCTTTGTATTTAGGTGCAGTCTAAATCTATGATCATTCATATTAAATCATATATATATATTAATTTAACTTCTTTAAACTTCCTCCAATCTTTCTTTCTACTTTATTTGAATTTCAAAAAAAAAAGATAGGCTTCAGTGCTAAAAATCTCTTCTTCTTATTATCATCTTTCTAGTAATTTTTGATATTTTAATTTTTCTATTTTAAATTTATTCTCTTTTCATTTTTTATTTATATTCCTCTTATTCTCAAGTTAATTTTTTAAAAAGATTTATTTTATTAAAAGATGTTAGGCAATTTAAAATAATCATGTTTAAAATTTATTTATTTTTCAAGATGCATTTGTAAGCAATGAGTGAGGTTGATTTTTATAATTTATAAATGTTTCAAAAATAAAAATGTGAGAAAAGCTTAATAAAAGATGTATTTATCAAATAAAATATGCTAATTCAAAATATATCTTGTCGTATTTCTTTTAAAGATTCTAAGAATTCATCTTCATTTTAGATAAAAAAATTACTTTTCCTATCTTTGGTTCACTAATAATTTGAATTAATCTTCAATGCTTTATCATGATATATCAAAGTGTTATTTATTTCAAATTATTAAACACATTCCTAAAATAAATAAAATAATCCACCTATAGCCAATAAGGAAGCAAGGTGATGTATTGATAAAGATTAATCTAAGATTATCATGATCTTAGCTTAAAAAAAATGTTAATTTTATGATAACGAATTACCTTTATTTTTTTTATATATAAATACCTTCGCACTTAATGAACTGCAATGATTTATCTGCCCATATAAACTTATCTCATAATTATTAATTAAGCTTTTTCAAAATTAATTATTCATCAAATAACTTAATTGCTTCTTTGTAATTCTTTTCATCCAAATATATTATTAAACTCATCAGTTATTTATGACTTAGAGCCAAAATTATAATTGTGAAAGTCTTTTGAGTAGAATACTTCAGATTTCATAGATATCCCTATAATATTTGATAATAGATTAATTCAGTTATCATAAATTACAATAATTAATTAAGAATTAAAATTTAATGAAGTATCATTTTAAGTCTTGATATAAATATTTTAAATTTTGGAGATTTAGTCATTTACATTTCAATTTTAGATGCAAAGGAATATAATACAATAGTGTCTATTTATTCAACTAATTATAATTCAGGTCTATATTTTTTGAAGTATAAAGTCTATTAAGGTTTTGGATTATTAAGAATTAAAAGAAATCATTTGCATTTTAAGATCTATTTAATAATAGATTAATATTAAACTATTAAGATATTATTGGATTGATAAAATTTCTGGAGTTATTCTTAATATTTAAATATTGAGGGTTATTTTATTTATTAATCAATAAATCATCATTTGGCTTTTTAAAAAATCTAAGGGGATTTATTAACTTATATTAATTCTTTTTTTAAGAATATTTTTTTCTTAATTTTAATCTTCATCTAAATAATATAAATAAATTAGTTTAATGAAAATATTTTATATATAAATTAATACTATTTTTATAAACTATTAAAAAGAATTCAATTCTATGTGAAAATGGTTTACATTTTTTATAATAATAATTCATATTGCACTATTTAAATAAATGAATTTATTTATTATTAGCACCAAAACCTATCACCTTGTTTAAATCTAATAAATTTCTAATATCCATAAACCAGATTTTTCTTCAGATGATCCTATTTGTGGTTTTATATTTAACCAATCTATTTGATTCCTGGAATAGCTCAGACACTTCAAAATTAATGTAAGTTATTTTTAATTTTAATATTAAATTATAATATTTATTCATTTAAAAAATATATACCATTAATATAAATAAATAAATTTAATTAAAAATGGTATTAAAATTTATGTCGAATCCTAATGAAAACCAAAAAAATGCCTTGTGTTCCCATTTTGGTTGAGAAGCAAAGCAGACTGGATGATCAAATTATTAAAAGTTAGATATGAGCAGAAGGAAAGAGAAGAAAAAGGTATTTTAGTATGAAAATTATGTTGATTATGCCTAAGGTTATGAGAAAATAAGTGAAAAAAAGGTAGAATAGTGAAGAAAAGATTTTAAACATTAAATCCTTTTGAAAAATTCAATACTATTACAGATGTTATTTATTTGCAATAACTGCTAAAAACTACGCAAAAAATTAATAGAATATGGGCCAATTAAATTAAAAAAAAATCAGCTAGATTCAACTCATGATGAGCCTAAAGAAAACCACAAAGGTGTTGTGCAATAGTTGGATATTTGAAAATCTTTAGTGATTGGACAATAAATTCTAAATACAAAAACTTAATCTAATTCTCATTCTAACAAAAAAATAACAACATCAGCTAAAATGAATAATTGAAAAGATCAGCTCATTTCAATGTATACTATTAAAATTAAACATCCCAATTATATATTGAGTAATAATTGATAGATTAAAATATTTAGAGTGGAGATATGACTTATAAAAGTTATTCTTAGATGATACCATAAAGAAGTTTTTAGAAATGTAAGCTAGATCCTAAATCTTTGCTTACTAGGAGACAATATGACAATACTAAATGAGTTTTGGTACAATAAGATAAGTGAATAGGTAAGGTTATCATATACAATAAAAATTACAAAATATAATTAAAAAAAATTATAATTGAGTCATTAGGTCCTTCAAATTTAGATTCTTGATATCCTATCTTAAGATTCATAAGTGGATGGATAAAACTATCTTAACTCACATACGATTTTATAGTTCCTACTATCAGGAAAGACCATAAAAAATCAACATATGTACATCTCAATTTTCTTTTTTATTATCTTCTTTTAACAGTATATCAAAGGAAAAAAGAAATAAAAAGGACTAAAAAATCTAAATTAGATGGATATAGTAGATATGCATATTCAAAATGCTTCTCTTGTCTTAACATCCAATTAAATTTTAGAAATATCTTTATTCAGATGCTAATATATTTCCATCAGGAGAGAAGCATGCTGAAAAGTAAGTTCGACTATAACCATCTAATTTGGATTTTGTTATATCCTGTTTTAAGTTTCCGTATTGGATTCTTTAAAAAGAAATCCAAAAAGATCTGGAATATTCTTTTTTCTCAATCTTTGAGAATCTCTATAAACACTTGGTCATAAAGATCTTTAACCTGAGCTAAAATCTCTGAAGGATCTTCCAAGTGCTGATAAGGCTCCTCCGATTCTATTATTCTATAAAGACATATATATATTTGTTAACTTAATCTTTTTCGATCTTTAGAGGTCCTTTTACTCTCTTCTCAACCTTAATGATTTTGGGACTGTCCCCTTGAAGGAAGTCTCTGAATTACATCTTTTCTCTAACTACCTGAATTCATATAAGAAGGAATCCAAATGGTGTAATTTTCTATCACAGGTATGCTTATATTAAAATTAGAGGAAGTTTGTTACAAATATTGATTTAATTTAAGGACGAATTAGTGAGCCCTTGCTTTGAATTTTCTGATTGTTTGAGCAATCCAGAAGAGCCTTATTGAAAAAGAATTTAAAAAATACGATATTTTTAATTCAAAATCAAATTTTATATATTAGAAAAAACTCAATATTTATTCAGTTTCTAGATTATTTTAAAATAATCTAAATTAATCAGAAACAATTTTCTAACCCTTAAACACAATTCATCAATGTAAAGTAGCCTTGCCTGCCTTAATTGGAATTAATTATCTTTCTTCTTTAGCCAGAACTCATTCTTAAAATACTAAAATTAAAAAAATGGTGTCACTTCAATATTTTAATCATTCAAAAAAATCAAGTTTACATATAGTGGATATAATTTGTTTCACTTCTAACATTGTGAATCTAAAAGGGCAGTCATAATAAGAATCCTCACTTTTTCATTATATCTCACATAATATTAAATTCTAATGAGTCAATGGAGTATCCAAATCATTCAAACATACTAGATTTTATTGTTATCATTTTAAACACTTTTAATTTAGTTAATTCTGATTCGATATAATTATTAGTAGTTCTGAGAAAATAATATTCATATCAACAAACCACTAATTCTAAGATGAATGTCTAGATATGACTAATAATAATTAAATGAAATACATTCTTAGTATCTCAGTAGTCATAAAATGTAATTCAAAATTTTTTAGTTGCCTTGTTTATCTTCACCGATCATATTAGAACAAGCATTGAAGAATCTGATGTTAATTTGAATGAGGAACTAGTCTATTGACCTCCTTGGTGACTCTATATATTGAGGACGATCTTTTTTAGGCTACACTAATTTTAATTAATAGAATTTTATGAATTTTTGTAAGACTAATTTAAAGGTAAAGTAAGTATATTTGAATTAGAGTGAAATAGGATGAATGTATATTATCAATCCGATAGAATAGGAAATTTGTAAGTTTTGTAATTATGGTTACTTTTATAATGCTTTTGGTTCAAATCAATATAAATTAAAATTGCAAGAGTAAATTTCAATGGTGAAATCTTAACTGTTGATGATGAGAATTGCACAGATACAGAATAATATTTGTAAATCTTAGATTTTAGTATTATCATCCCTAAAATTGTAACAATTATTTTAATGAATATTAAATAAATTGAAATAATTCTAAGTAAGAACATCAAGCTAAAGAACGATCTGAAGAAATTAAAATAATTGTTTAATAATTGAAGTTAACGAAAACATATATAAATACTATATAGTTCCAGAAAGTAGAAGATCTCCTATATAAGGCCTTATTTTCTAGGAGTAATTTTATAATTCTCTAGTTTATTAGTATCGAATTACCTAACTTAAAAGTATAGTCTTCTTATTAGACATTGTTACCCAATCATTTCCAGCAATTAGTATCCTTTAAATAAACTAAGTTGGCTTATTTTTAGGTGCTTCCTCTTTTGATCAAATTTGAAAGGTAATTTTTGCATCCCTGAAAAGCATTAATTTTAAGAATTTGAAAATTTTTTGGTTAATAGTCGATTAGACAAGATAATGAAAAAGCATAATTATATAAATACAAAATACTAAAAAACATTTTTAAACTGTTTACAAAAATCAATTTTACTTTAATTATTATTCGTTATTGTTTTCTGAAAAGGAACTTCCTTTTTATTTTAATGATAATTTAAATCTATTCCCGATAAATTCATTAATTTTCCTTTTATAGTTAGAGCCTCCTAAGCTTAAAATATGGCCCCTGGGATGTAAGAAGAATAGTCATATTAGAGATTACTAAATATTAACAATTAATACATTAGGCAATTGGATTGTTTAACAATAATTGGATTTTAAATTATGTTATAATTTCTTTATACTTTTTGTTTGAAGTTTCAATTTATATTCCTTTTTATATTTCCCATTAACAGATAGGATTGTCTCCACTACCCAGAGACAAAAGTCGCTCTAGTGGGAGAAAACTAAACTGAGTAAACTTAATTACTATGACCATTCAATTTAACTTTTTATTATCCTGTCTTAGCATTCAATAAACGAATAGACTTATCCATACTATCAGATATTATTGTAGTTACATTTGGTGAGAAGTATAATGAGTAGGTTGGATTGTTGTGACCATCCGATTTGTCTTTTATAATCCTGTTTCAACATCCCATAAACAGATTGTTCTATCAACACTATCAGATGCTAAAGTAGTTCCATCACATTCAATAAGGCTTTTAATTATCCTGTCTTATCATTCCACAAACGTATGGAGTAATCTCCATTAACCGATGCTAAACATAACCCATCAGAAGAGAAGCATACTATTTGAACCCATTGACTATGAAAATCTAATTTAGCTTTTAACTATTCTTTCTTAACATCCCAAAACGAATATAGTTATCTCCATCACTAGAAGCTAATATATTTCCATCAGGAGAGAAACATAATGAGTTGTTTCAATTTCACTTTTTTTACATCCAATAACCAAAAAGTGTTAGCCCTCACTAACAAATGCTAAAGTATTACCATTGGCAAAGAAGCGTACAGAGTAGACTGGAATATTATAATTTAGTTTGACTTTTAATTATCCTGTTTTAACATCCCATAAGTGAATAGACTTTTTATGACTTCTAGATGCTAACGTATTATCATTAGATGAGATACAGATTGATCTACCATGCTATGACCTACTGGATAATTTTCAACATATTGATTATCAGATGAAAAAAAAGTATGAAAAGAAAATAATAATTATTAGGTAAATTAATACATTCAATATTTATACATAGAAATGCTTCTAACACGTTATGAATTTAAATACAAGTGCAATATCATGCTTAAAAAATATTAAAATAGATAAAATACAAAAATTCTTTTTATCAACAAAATCAAATTTCATGATTAAACTTTAGATTTTTTAAAATTTAACAATAATTTAATACAATGATTTCAATATGTTGAGAAAAAAAATTCTTAACTGCATGTTTTTGAAGTTCAAATTCAATTAATTATATTTAATTCTAATTTCAGTTTTAAAAATTCTTTAACTTAATTATTTTTAACAATTTCTTAATTATTCTTTTCCATTTTTTTTCCTGAATAATTTATATTTACAATATATAAATTAATTTGTATAATTTCATATCTGATTATAAACTTATAAGAAATGTATTTCAAAAATTTATTAAATTATTCAAATTACGATTCATTTTAAATAAAGTTAAATATGTAAAATAAATAGAAAAAATTTTACTACAAAATTATATTTTATAATATTTTAAATAGTGAGTATAAATATATTAACAATTTTTAATATTAAAAAATTTTAGATAAAGAGTGATTTAATTTAAAACTTAATAATTATATAATATGATAAATTTATTATATTATTATTATTATAATTGATTTGATATGTTAAAATTATATATCATTTAAATCCACATTAGATGATTAAAATTTTATATTAAGTTAATAAAATCATATTGTAATTGATCAGATTTTTAAAGACGATGAATAGGATCAACATTATATCAAATAATTATAATAATATTACCATGTTTCTATGGAGAAGATTTCCTTAAATATCTCCATAATATTACATTTACTTTAGATAAATTATCTTATTTGAAGATTTTTGAATCATAAGTTTTTTTATTCAAAATAATAAATCAAACTCTATCAAAGTGTGAAATAATATTTTATCAGCAAATTCTTTTTTAAGCTTAAGGTATTAAGCATTGAGCTTATATTTAATAGTTTATTGATAAATAGAATATATTTTGAACTTAATGATTTAACTCTTTAAGCAGCTTGGATTATTATTTAATTTATTAAAATGGATTTGCCAGATGAAAATGGGATACAGAATTTATGTCCTGATTTAGATAAATGCTAAATCAATACCTGCGAAAAACTGCATTCAAGATGTTTAACAGGAGTTTGTATCGGTAATTTACAAGGATTTTGTTAATAATAAGATTATTGCGGTTAACATCATTATTCATTAGTTCAATTACAAGGTGAATTAGATAAAAAACCAATCAATGGAATTTATTAGCACAATTTATGTTATAAGAAATGCAATAATGAGAATTGTAAATTTTTACATCCACCTTGGTTATAATTCATTTGTGTTGATTGTAAAAATTAAAAATGTGATAAAAAGAAAGAAGGATTATGGCATACTTCTAAATGGTAAGAGATACAAAAAAAGGTATATGAATTATATAACATAAATAAAACAAATCCTGAAAAGTTTTGTAATGAAAAAGATTGTGAATGTGAAGCTTAAAAATATAATTTTAATATATATTGTATTAAGTATTTTTAAGGAATATGTCCTTATCATAGATGTTAAAAACCACATAAAAATTGGGAAGATTTAAAAGATATTGGACATTTTTAGAATTTATAAGATAAAGTTGTAAAACCTTGTATTAAATTTGACGAAAATAAGAATGAATTTTCTAGTTAACCTTAAACTCTATAATGTAATGTTTATATGTAAAAGAATTAACTTAAATTGATAATAAATTAAGTATAGATTAGACCATAAGTGGATATCATTTTTATATTAGATTGTACAAAAAGTATGGAGAAGTGGATTGAAGCTTCTAGAAATAATATTAGTTTTATAATAGCTGAATTTAAGAAAAAGGTAGAGATTAATACAGCTGTAAGAATAACTACTGTATGTTACAAAGATAGACTATCATAATTTTACTGTAAGGCCAGAAGAGATTGAGAAATTCATCAAAAATTTCAAAGTTGAAGATGGTGATGATGTGCCTGAAGATTTATAAGGAGCTCTTGATGTGGCATATAACTTAAATATTAGCAAGGATCCTGAAAGTCTATTATAGATTTTTATAATAACAGATGCTCCATGTCATGGGAGGAAATATCATAATTTAGCTTATGATTAACTTCCAAAATCTCAAGATTTAGAGGAAAAACTAAAAAAATTTGTTACTTTAAAAAAGAGATTTTTTCTATCCTTTTTATAAATACATTAGCAAACTTGTACTATGGAAACAGTTATGCAAAATGTAGTTTAAAATAATTATTAAAGTGCAAAAATAGCTGATAAATAATTTTCAGATTATATATTATTTTCTCTATCTTCTACTTATTCTAGATCATAATCAATTGATACACATATAGATTTTAACATATCAGTAAAGCTAATTATAAAAAATAGAGATAAATGCATTATAGTTATAATAATAGGCAAAATTCTCAATATTGTGATTATATTGATTAACAAATCAATCAAACTTAAAAATCAGGTGAAACTTCGTTATTAATAGAATTAGAAGAATTTAAAGTTAATCTAAAAGGTGAATTAGCAAAATTATTTAAAGGATTTGATGAAAAAAATAATGTACATATTGTGATTAAAATTCCTTAAGAGATTATTATAAAATACAACTCGAATACCTTGACTTAGGATGATATTGAAAAGGCAAATTAGATAGCAAATTCAAAATATAAGTAATAATTGATTGCAAAGCAATTGAGTCATCATTTCAATTACTGTTGCTAACTTTATAAATTGTCATTTACTCCTCTTTATTATGCTACTTTATATTTATATAAATTAGATAAACCATTTAAAGGTTTGGAGATTTTATACGGAGAAAGTTTTATTGATCTTCAAGATACTTGGAAGAAATACACTAACAATCTAAATTATAGACATGAAACAATTAACTTAACTGCTTTCTCTCACTTTACATATCATTATACTAATTGTTAAATTATAATTACAGATTTATAAGGAATATATAATATTTTAAGTGATCCTGCAATTCATAGTTTAGATGAAAGATTGAAAGATGATGCAAATATTAAAAATGAAGGATGCTGTCAATTCTTTTTGTACTAGCATCCAGAATGTTAAAATATTTGCAAATAGCTTGGTTTAATATCAATTTCTTTATAAAAAAAGGGTAATACTTAAACTTAAGATTTAAAATCTGAAGCCACTCGAATAGATGATAGTTAAATGAATCAAGAAAATTTATACAAAATTTGTATTAATTGCAATGTAATTGAAAAGTTGAAGAAAGACTCTGATACTTTTGAACTTTGTGAATAATGCCAAAATTTATAGCAGGATATTACAACTTATACCTGTAAATGTTGTAATCTGAAATTCGAAATCTCTGAAAAAACTGAATAGCTTTTTGCAACTATAGTGGAATTTTGTAAAGAATGTTAAATTAAATAATGTCATAAAACAAAGTTGAATTGTTATTATTGTTAATAAAGAATATGTTTATAAACTATTAAGGAAATTAATTATAATCAAATTAAAATACCTATTTGTATTGATGCTCATTTCTTTTTAAGATAAGTAAAATGTAAAATTTGTCATTCTAATTATAATTTTAATACATTATTAAGCCAAGAAGATTATTTTAATAATAATTACAATTGTGGTTGTAATAGCAAAACCAATTGAAGTTGTAATAATAGATATGTTGAAAGAATAATTTATTATTAGATTTTATATGAAATTTTTTTATTCTAAAAAAAACATTGACTATTTTCGCACTGTCTCTTTTTTTAAAATCTAAATTAAATAAGTCAATTTTTCTTAATCAACTTTATTGTTATAATCAATTAAAATTTCAATCATTTAGAATTCTTCTTCAATTTAAGTTCCCTTTTTTATTCTATTTTCAATTCTTTCTGGTTATTCTGGAAATATCATTTAATATTCCAATCCTTTTATTATTTCTCTCTTCTATTCTGTCAATTGAATCAATAGTAAAATAAATTTTTAAAGAATCAGTTGATCATTGCTAACTCTTTAGTTTAAATGATGTCAAGACCTGGTCTTGATATTCTTGGTTCAAATATCAAACTATCTTCAAGTAAAACTACAACAATGGCAAATGGATGAATATTTTTTTTAATAACAGCAAGGAAGCCTAATTTTTTGTAATAAAATGATTTATTCAAATTGAAAGTAACTCATATGGTTATATTATAGATAGGTCACATTAGTACTCAATTTGATTAAATTTACTTTAAATAGTAATGATTTTTGAATGTAAAATTTATATTCCTCTGTACATTTATTCTCTAAAAAAGATTTAAAATAAAATTTTGAAGATGATGTATAATATCTNAAAAAAAACATTGACTATTTTCGCACTGTCTCTTTTTTTAAAATCTAAATTAAATAAGTCAATTTTTCTTAATCAACTTTATTGTTATAATCAATTAAAATTTCAATCATTTAGAATTCTTCTTCAATTTAAGTTCCCTTTTTTATTCTATTTTCAATTCTTTCTGGTTATTCTGGAAATATCATTTAATATTCCAATCCTTTTATTATTTCTCTCTTCTATTCTGTCAATTGAATCAATAGTAAAATAAATTTTTAAAGAATCAGTTGATCATTGCTAACTCTTTAGTTTAAATGATGTCAAGACCTGGTCTTGATATTCTTGGTTCAAATATCAAACTATCTTCAAGTAAAACTACAACAATGGCAAATGGATGAATATTTTTTTTAATAACAGCAAGGAAGCCTAATTTTTTGTAATAAAATGATTTATTCAAATTGAAAGTAACTCATATGGTTATATTATAGATAGGTCACATTAGTACTCAATTTGATTAAATTTACTTTAAATAGTAATGATTTTTGAATGTAAAATTTATATTCCTCTGTACATTTATTCTCTAAAAAAGATTTAAAATAAAATTTTGAAGATGATGTATAATATCTTTTATATGAATATAGGTTCAAACAATATAAAGTTTGATTATATTATTCTAAAAATAATGTGTATCTAAGGGAAAGAGAAAAATTTATGTATATTCATTATAATTAATCAATATTTTTAGTCTGAATTCTAATAAACAATTTTTTATATAGACAATGTTTTTATTATAAATTTTTTATTATCATCAATATAATCATTTTAATATTGATTTTAATCATTGTTCTTCTTATTTTCCAATTTTATATTAGACTAATCACTGTCTTCATTAAATTAGCATAATTTGCTTTTTTATCTTTTATTAGTGTTTGTTTCTTCGTTATTTTCTGATCATCAATTTTCTTTACTTCTTTTCTATTACTTTTTATATATCACTGGTTAATAAAATAAAATAATTATTGACTAGACTGAAGAAATTTAAATTAGTATTTTTAAAATGGTTATTAAATAGTTTTCATAAAAATTAATGAAACTATTTCAAGATCTTTAAAGATTATTATTAATAGAATTATTTATTATAAAAACAATTAGTAAAGTTCGTCTAGATTTTTATTTCGAGAAGAACATAATTAAATATGAATATTCTAAGTTTATCTCAAAAAATATCAAAATTATCTTTTTATGATTAGGGGCTCATCTTTGTATTTAAAGGGTTAATTAAACCAAAATTTTTTTCGATGAATCAAAAGCTTTTGATTCTGATATTAGTTTAAACATAAGTAATATAAATTTAATTCAATTATTTAGGATTATTTCTTATTCTGAAAACACCTAAATTGCCTCATTTTGGTAGAGATTTATGTTTTTAGCATTACTATGACTTGCTTAAAAGATTCATGAATTTTGTCATATATTATGAATAAAACTCTTTAATTTCCTTATATTATTCAATGCTTTCCAAACTTTTATTTTGTGTATATACTCCTAAATAAGTTTTTCTTAAGGTAAAAATACAATATTCTAATTAATTTGATTAACCCAAAATTATTTAAAATAAAATTAATTGTCGTAATAAAATGAATAAAATAATAAATTGCCCAAAAAGTTTATAATAGTCAGATGAAAAAGATGAGTATGTAGTTTAAATTTATATAATAGTCTTTGGTTCAAAAAATTAACAGTTAAAAGTTAGGATGCTACTCATACCATTTGGGAATGTGAATTTTCAAATTGGGTTTAAAATGAAGCAAAATTTGTAAAGTTGAAAATAACAATAATTCTTTCTGAAGATAAAGAAATTAAGTACATATAAAATGGAGAGATTATAAGAATGTAAATAATTTTTGAAATAATAAAATAGAGACTATGTGCCCAACTTATTTGCTAAACCTTAATTTTTTAATAATTTAGAATAATTAAAAAATCTTTAATGGCAAGGAAATTATACAATTAATCGAAAAAAGATTTCTAAATGGACTGCATATTGGAACGGAGAAAAAATTAAAAAAGTTGGTGGATATTACTGCGAGAGTGGATTAAAGTAGGGTTTATGGAAGGAACTAAGTAAGAACTATTGGAGGTACATTTATTAAGTATATAAAATAGTAAAGCTTAAATATTTGAAATTGGAGAGTACTTTAATGATCAAAGAAGAGGATTCTGGAAATATAGCTTTTAAAATACTATTATGTAAGATATTTACTTATTTGTATAGTGGAGGAGGGTATTATAATTAAGAGAGCTTAAAGCATGGTTAATGGGTAGAATTGAGTGATGCATTTAGGGAGTATTATAATTAAAATAAATTATAGGTTTAGTGAAGTGACTTATGAAGGTGAATATAATAACGGTAATAAAGTTGGGGTATGGAATATTTTTTGGCAATATTATGAATAGAAATTATAATTGTAAGAAAAGGATTAAGAATTTTAGAGGTTATGGAATATATGGTTAAAATAATTCTGGATGTGCTGTCAAAATAGGAATGTGGATTGAATTATGTGATGAATTTTGGAAGAATTCACAAATCTTTCATATTGGGAAATATATAAATGGCCTTAAGGTTGGTAAATGGGATATTATAGAATAATGGAACAATAATTCAACTTAAATGTAAGATATTATAATTTAATAAAATTTAAGAGGAGGTGGATTTTATGAATACGATGAAAATTATGGAAATTTTAAGAGTGGAAAGTGGATTGAAATATGTGAAGGGTTTTATAGATCATATATTTATTCAAAATAAATTACTTATAATGGTGAATATAAAAAAGGTAAAAAAGTTGGTGTATGGGATATTTTATGGAGAAAAAGTTCTGAAGAATCATTTATAAAGATGTAATAGAATATATATTATTAAAATAGTGGTGGAGGATCATATGGAGATGATGAAATGGAAGGAAATTTAAAATTTGGAAGTTGGATTGAGTTGAGTGATAAATTTAATATGTGGAATTAAATCATTTATAATGGCTAATATAAAAATAATTAAAAGATTGGTAAATGGGAAGTTTAATGGAGAAAATAGCATGATAAACAATTTGAAGTGATGTAATAAAAAATAATAAAAGTAAATTAAGTGGTGGTGGATTATATGTCGATGTTGAAGGTAATGGAACTTAAAAGAATGGAAATTGGATTGAGGTGAACGATAACTTTGAAATAAATAATTAAACTACTCACTAAGGCGAATATAAAAATGGAAAAAAGATTGGTAGTTGGGTTATTTTATATAGGGAACATGATGCTAAACCATTTGAATAGATGTAAGAGTATTATTAATAACAAAATTTAGAGGTGGAGGATAATTTGCTATTAATGAAAAGTAAGAGGATGTTAAGATTGGTAGATGGATAGAATTGTGCAACTATTTTGGAACGGGATTTAAAAGTAGCCAAGTTATTTTTATTGGAGATTATTAAAATGATAAAAAAGTGGGTAGATGGGATTTTTGTTGGAGGAAAGAAAATTCTAAACCTTTTGAAAAGATGTAAGATAAATTTTAATAGCATTTTTAGTGGAGGTGGTGTATATGACATTGATGAATAATTAGGAATATCAATAAAAGTTGGATCCTGGATTGAATTGTCTGATACTTATGGAATTTAATCTGGTTAAGATTAAGTCATTTTCAATGGTTAATATCTAAATGGCAAAAAAGTTGGGATATGGAATATGATGAATAGAGATTATTAATAAGCGGAAATAAGATTCTAATAAATTAAAGAAATAAATTATAATCATTTTAATAAATGATTTTTAAATTATTATTATTTTATCATAACATATTCTATTATTCTTATTTTATAATTGTGGATTTCAAAACTTTTTTCAATATTTCATTTTATTTTTAATTACTGATTAAAATTCTCAATATTAATTTTTTAAAGTTAGATAAATCACATAGGTCTTGATTTAAAATTTTTCTACAAGTTCTTTTACATAATATCTTTTGATAATTCACTTAAAGATATTTTTTTGAAATCATGATCATTATAGGAGACAAATAAATACTTTTTTAAGAGTTAAGGAACAGTATTTAAAAATTTAAAACATTTTCATTAGCAATATTTCAATTTTAAGAATTTTTTTTTTTTTTTATATTAATCTACTATCAAGAAAGTTTTTTTTAACTAAAACCTTACTATTTTTATGAATCCTCATAAAAGCTATACTTTTTAGTACGAAATATGATGATATTAAGTTCATAATCTATTTAATCTTATATTTCTGATGAATATAATTATGCTTTTTTAAATGGATCTTTAATTTGATTTCTTATATTTATTTGTTGATGTAAGATGATGTCATAAAGTAATTATAATAAAATCTAGATTTATTCTATCAATGAAAAATTAATTTCAATATAAAATAGCACTATAATCAAAAATGATTTATTATATTCTAAAAAAATGAGTAAAATTCTAATTGAATTATTCATAAAATTAAACATCATAAAAGTAAAAAAAAGTTTCTTTTGAATAAAAAAATAATTTGCTTAATAAATTTTTAATTTACTTCCAAGTTAATTGAAATAAAATTAAATTAATAATGAAATCTTTAATTGCTTCTCAAAAGAGTTTTTAAGAGCCATTCGTGTGGTTACAAGGTACCAAAGACTATGAAATTTATGACAAATGTGAAAAGATTAAAATATAGATCACATTCACAAAAGATTATAAAATTATTTATAGAAGAGGAGAAATAATTTTGAGGGTGTAAAGTCTATTAATAAATTTTAAAAGGGAAAAAGTGAAACAATTTTTTAAGAATCCAGAGTTAATGACTAACTTGGAATAGATTCGACATCTTGATTGGCAAGGTGAATATGGAATTGGAGAAACAAAATGTGGTAAGTGGTAAATTAAATGGAATGGAAAAATTCTGAAAGATGTTGGTGGATACTATGAAAATGGGTAAAAGCAAGGTTTATGGTAAGAACTAAAAAAAAATTATTGGAAGTAAGGGATTTTAAAAAATATAAAGTTAAGCTTAAGTTTATGAAATTGGAGAATACTTTAACGATTACAGAAAAGGTGGATGGGATTATATTTACTAGAATAATAAGATGTATGATTTATAATAATTATTAAGTTATGGAGGATAATACAATGAATAAGGATAGAAAAATGCCAAATGGATTGATTTGAGTGACAGCTTTTAGTGCTTTTCATAAATCATCTACAATGGAGAATATAATTTTAAAGGGTAGAAAATAGGCCTATGGAATATTATGTATTGCAAGGATGATGAAAAGGAATATAAATAAATGTTATAATAAAATTAAATATTTTAGAGGTGGTGGATTATATGATGCGAAAGAAAAAGAATTTCAAAAAAAGATTGGGAGATGGGTAGAGTTGTCAGATTATTTTATGGATTCCTCATAAATTACTTATAATGGAGAATATAATAGACAGGGTATAAAAGTGGGTAGATGGGATATTATGTATAAGGAAGAAGATGAAGATGAATTTAAATTAATGTAAATCTAATAATATAAGTTTTGTTAGTGGTGGTGGATCATATCATGAATAGGAGAGAGATTCTTTTTCAGTAAAATTTGGGAAGTGGATTGAAATAGGAGATAATTGGTGGAAAACGTTTACTGGCGAATATAATGGAGAGGGTAAAAAGGTTGGTAAATGGGTCGAAAAGAATTTAAAAAAGATCAAATGAGAAATTTAAAATATAATAATTAAATATAAAATATATTTTTTATCTTGAACAAAATTGGGTTTTTACAAAAACTACTGGATTAATCCAGTTGTGACAGTTAAACATGACCTAAATATATTTTAATTTTTAATAAGATACAAAATTAATCAATTCTATCTTCCCTAAAATAATATTTAAGTTCATATTGATAAAGAAGAATAAAAATAAATTAGTTAAATATTTGATGATGAAGTTCTAAATGACAGTCTTAGTCCATTAAAAAAAGAAGTGTAAATAGAGGCTTAAAACTTAAATATGGTGAATTAAAGAAAAAAAAAGTTAAATTAGACCTGAGTATTCTTGAAACCTTTCGAAGGAAAGAAAATTTACTATAACATAAACTTTATTATTAAATATCTTATTGATAATAATTATGAATTTATTAATTTCGATTGTTTTTGCTTGATGGTTCAGAAAATTTAGATACTCTATAATCACATTTTTGTTTATACTGTACAAATTTATAATTTTTAGTTCATAATAAATGAGTATAAATTTGAAACTAAACTCAATACCTTTGAATAAATTATTAATTTAATGCAAATATTAATCAAAGGTTTATAAAAGTGATTTAATTTAAATATTGGTTTATGGATTGGCTTATTTTTCAACATTTATGGCAATAAATTTCTAAATTAAATATAAATTGTTAGAAAATATTTTTGATTAAAGAAAGTCATAAGAGAAAGAAAAATTGTATCTTATTTAATATTGTAAAACCTACGTTTCCAGATCATTTTTAATTATTTTATAAAAGATGTCGAGCTATCCTAAATGTGAACAACATCCTGATGTTTTAATAGAAGGTATTTACAAAGCAAATAATAAACTTTAAATCTAAAGAAAAGTTTGCATGAATTGTATTTAACAACTCAAAATACCTATTGAATAAGTCTTATCAAGAGAAGATTTCGTCAAACATTTGCTTGAAAAATCTTAACAATTAAATATGAAAGATGAATTAAAATAAAGTGAATCAAAAATGATTTCGAAAAGAAACCTCCTTAAACTCGATTTTATGATAGAAGAAATAAATTTAATATTTGCTAGTATCAAGGAATCAACCTAAGCAATTTAAGCTGAAGAAAAAGAAATGTATGATAAATTTCTAAAGCTGATTAATCAAGATTTGAATCCATATGAATGCTCTAATCCTGAAATAGATTTTCGAATAAATTTTCTTGATGGAAATACTTTTGAAGAATAAATGAAAAGAAAAAAAACTATGAGTTTTTTAGTTTAAAATGCCTTTGAGATTCTAAATAGAATCGTTTAAAATCTATATCACACTTGCCATTTGATCGAAAATATTGAAAAAAATTTGTAAGTTTCATATTATATTAAAGTATGCAATAAAGAACCTAAGAAACTGTCACCACGATAGAAGGGTTAGAAAATGATAATAATCACTTAAAGTTAATAAATATTCATCTTAAGACATTAAAGAGTGGAGATAGGGTTTATTAAAAAGATGATGGATAAATATTAAGAATGTATAATAAGTTTAAAATTTTTAGGGAAAGAAATAATATTGGATCTAAAAATTAAGATATAATATATAATATAGAACAATAAAAATATTTAGAGTTTAAAGGTAATTATGGAGTGAAAGGCTATAAAATTAAATTATGGAATTATTTTTGGAAAGGACAATATATTGGAGGTGGGTTTTACAATATTATGGGGTAAAAAGACGGTAAGTGGATTGATTTATGTAAGAACTTTTGGGAGTAATAATAAAATTTTATATTAGTAATAAAAATGTTCTAGAAATTGGTTATTATTCAAAAGGAATGAGAATTGGATAATGGTCTTTCAACAGGAATAATTAATAAATGTAACAATCAAGTCTATCAATTTAGTGGAGGTGGATTGTATGATAAAGAAGACGGTTAAAAAAAGATTGGAAAGTGGGTTGAATTAGGTTAAGGGTATTAAAATAATAAATAAATCACTTACAATGGGGAATATAATATGAAAGGTATGAAGATAGGTATATGGAATATTAGATATTGTGATCAGTATGAGTAGCAATATAAATAAATGTAAATTTTCTATAAGTATAGGTGATAATAATATATTAGTGGTGGAGGTATGTATGATGATGGAGATGATTAGATTAAGATTGGGAAGTGGATAGAATTGGATGAAGGATTTTATAATTATAAATAAGTGACTTATCATGGTGAATATAACAAAAAAGGTATCAAGGTTGGTAGATGGAATATTAATTTTGATAATAGAAATGGAAAGGGGTATAAATAAATGTAAATATATTATATGTATAGGTGATAATAGTGGTGGTGGATTTTATGGTGAGGCATAAGGTTAGATTAAAATTGGGAGATGGGTCGAGTTGGATGAAATGTTTTATTTAGATAATGAAATCACTTATAATGGTGAATATAATATGTAAGGTATCAAGATTGGAAAATGGATTTAAAATGGAGGTTGGTATGATGGTAAAGAAATAAAATACGATAATTGAAAATTAATATAAATGAGATTAATTTATATATCACGAAATAAATAAATAGTGATATAAAAACACTCTTTTGAATCAGTCATTATAGGACAAAAAATTCAAAATGAGTTTAAGGGTTTTTTAAAGATATCTTTGGTTAGGTATTTTCCAGATCTATTTGAAGCATGTTTTAGGATGATATTTTCTCAAAATAATAAATAAATATTATCCTTATTTTAATCAGAAATGCCTCAATCAATACAAAACAGTATTAGATTGCTGTAAAATAATTGAAATTCTTCTACTGCTATTATCTTGTAAGATGAGACACAATGGAACACAACTATATTATTATTTAATGATGATTAATAAGGAGCTAAACAAATATGTCAACGGTAGATGAAGTCATATACTAATTATTTTTAGTTCTTTTAATTAAAGTACAAGTATTTGAAATCTTTTATTAAAATACTTGATATATTAAAATCCTCTAATGCTTGATTTAACGATGCTTTTCTACTTCTACTATATAGCATGAATAATTCACCTTACACTATTTGGGTTTCCCACCATAATTTCATTTTTTACCAGTGCTAATAATCTAGTACCTCCAGGCTTATATCCAATTTATATTTTCGATATTTTCAAGTACTACCTCTAAATTGGGATGTAGAATTGTATTTTTGTTTTTTTAGACTACAAATACATTTCAAACAATTATCCTAATCTTTAAATTTATTGTTAATTAACCAGAATATTTTGAGGTTATATAAATTTTTCTGTTCATCTAAATTTTTTGAAAAATTCTTATTATAAATTCTCGAGTTAAAAATGGATTTTATTTTGTTTAAAAATGTACTTATAACTTTTATTAAAAAAGATTGTTATTTTCTTTTATTATGATTGCTTCTCATGCATGGGCCAGTCCAAATAGCGTAATAATCTATGAATTGTATATTTATGGCCTTTTCTTTAACTCCTTACCAAAAATATTTTTCAAATTATTTTAAAATATTAATTAGTCCATTAGCCCCCAATTTATAAATCTGGAGGTTTTTCATTTTCTTTAAGTCTAAAGTTATCAAATATTAATAAACGTGAGATTCTTGTTTAATAATATCTTCTTCGTTATTTAAGAATTTTATTTGAATCTAGAACAAATAATTGCTCATTCAAATAGAACTAACTGCTTTGTTAAAAAAAAGATTTTCCCTAACGATCTCTGTTTTTCCTATATTAGCTAATCTATTATATAAATTATTTTATATTTAGATGAAAGTAAAGAAAGAATTCTTAAATGTAAGAATTAATTTGTTAAAAGTAAATTAAACTCCTTACTTTCTTGATTTAACACATGAAAATTTCACTCTGGCAATTTAAAAGTTGCCTTCCTTCATCGTTCTCGTTTCAAGTTAAAGAGCAATTAATATTATATTTAACTTCAATAATATTTTTATTGTTTGAAATATTTACAATTTTCAAAATAAAAAATTGTTAATAGACCTAATTAATTTAATATATTAATAATAAATTATTTTAAACTTAATTATAAATTTAAACTATATCAATTTAATATATCGAAGGTAGGGTGATTATTTAAAAGATTTGTTAAATAGTTTAGAAAATTTTGCTAATTAATCTTTTTTTGTAATAAAAAAATTGATTAATATTATAATTTAAATATGTATTTTGATTTCAATAGTATTTCTATAAAATAAAATTTTGTTTTATAATGTAATTTCATAATATATAATATTAATTTAATAATCTATCAAATGTCTTA